CCTCCCCCTCCCTCCCCCCACTCTCCCCCTCTCTCCCCCATCTCCCCCCTCCCCCCTTTCCCTCCCCCGTCTCCCCCCCTTCCCCCCCCCCACCCCTCCCCCCTCTCCCACCCCTCCCCCCCTCCCCCTCTCTCCCTCCATCCTCTCTCCCTCTCTCCCCTTCTCTCCCCCCATTCTCTCCCCCTCCCCATTGTTCCCCCACCCTCCCCCCCATCCCTTCCCCCCTCTCTCTCCCCCCTCTCCCCATTGTTCCCCCCCATTGTTCCCCCCCCTCCCCCCCATTGTTCCCCCCCCCCAGCCCTCCTGCGTGGCCGTCGCTGTCCTGCTGCACTTCTCCCTCCTGGCCTCCTTCACGTGGATGCTCCTCGAGGGGCTCCTCCTCCTCCTCCTCCTCCTCGTGGTCTTCGAGCCCTCGTGGCTGCGCCTCCGCCACCTCCTCCTGCCCGGTTACGGCCTCCCCGCGCTCACCGTGGCCGCCGCCGCCGCCGCCTTCCCCGGGGGCTACGGCACCAAGCGGTAGTGAGTGAGGGGATGGAAGCGGGGAGACAGAGGGACCCAGGGAGCCCTAGGGACCACATTGAGCCCTATGGAACCCATTGAGCCCTATGGAGCCCATAGAGACCCCATTGAGCCCTATGGAACCCATTGAGCCCTATGGAGCCCATTGAGCCCTATGGAACCCATTGAGCACTATGGAACCCGTTGAGCCCTATGGACACCATTGAGACCCCATTGAGCCCTATGGAGCCCATTGAGCCCTATGGAACCCATTGAGCCCTATGGAACCCATTGAGACCCCTTTGAGCCCTATGGAGCCCATTGAGCCCTATGGAACCCATTGAGCACTATGGAACCCGTTGAGCCCTATGGAGCCCATTGAGACCCCATTGAGCCCTATGGAGCCCATAGATACCCCATTGAGCCCTATGGACACCATTGAGCCCTATGGAGCCCATAGAGATCCCATTGAGCCCTGTGGAGCCCATTGAGCCCTATGGAACCCATTGAGCCCTATGGAGCCCATAGAGACCCCATTGAGCCCTATGGAGCCCATAGAGACCCCATTGAGCCCTATGGAGCCCATAGAGACCCCATTGAGCCCTGCCCATTGAGAGCCCATGGAGCCCATTGAGACCCCATTGAGCCCTATGGACCCCATAGAGACCCCATTGAGCCCTATGGAACCCATTGAGCCCTAGGAACCCCATTGAGCCCTATGGAGCCCATAGAGACCCCATTGAGCCCTATGGAACCCATTGAGCCCTAGGGACACCATTGAGCCCTATGGACACCATTGAGACCCCATTGAGCCCTATGGAGCCCATTGAGCCCTATGGAGCCCATTGAGACCCCATTGAACCCTATGGAACCCATAGAGACCCCATTGAGCCCTATGGAACCCATTGAGCCCTATGGACCCCATTGAGCCCTATGGACCTCATAGAGACCCCATTGAGCCCTATGGAACCCATTGAGCTCTAGAGACCCCATTGAGCCCTATGGAGCCCATTGAGACCCCATTGAGCCCTATGGAGCCCATAGATACCCCATTGAGCCCTATGGACACCATTGAGCCCTATGGAGCCCATAGAGATCCCATTGAGCCCTGTGGACCCCCTTGAGCCCTATGGACCCCATTGAGCCCTATGGACCCCATAGAGACCCCATTGAGCCCTATGGAACACATTGAGCCCTATGGAACCCATAGAGACCCCATTGAGCCCTATGGAACCCATTGAGCCCGAGGGACCACATTGAGCCCTAGGGACCCCATAGAGACCCCGTTGAGCCCTAGGGACCCCATAGAGACCCCATTGACCCTATGGAACCCATTGAGCCCTAGGGACAACATTGAGCCCTAGGGACCCATTGAGCCCTATGGAGCCCGTTGAGCCTGAGGGACCCCATATAGACCCCATTGAGCCCTAGGGACCACATTGAGCCCTAGGGAACCCATTGAGCTCTAGGGACCCCATAGAGACCCCATTGAGCCCTATGGAACCCATATAGACCCCATTGAGCCCTGTGGACCCCATTGAGCCCTAGGGACCCCATGGAGCCCTATGGAACCCATTGAGCCATATAGACCCCATATAGACCCCATGGAGCCCTAGGGACCACATTGAGCCCTAAGGACCACATTGAGCCCTATGGAACCCATTGAGCCATATAGACCCCATATAGACCCCATTGAGCCCTAGGGACCACGTTGAGTCCTAGGGACCCCATATAGACCCCATTGAGCCCTATGGAGCCCATTGAGCCCTATGGACCCCATAGAGACCCCATTGAGCTCTAGGGACCCTATTGACCCATATAGACCCCATATAGACCCCATTGAGCCCTAGGGACCCCATTGAGCCCTAGGGACCCCATAGAGACCCCGTTGAGCCCTAGGGACCCCATGGAGCCCTAGGAACCCCATATAGACCCCATATAGACCCCATTGAGCCCTATGGCCTCCATTGACCCATTATAGACCCCGTATAGACCCCATGTAGCCCTAGGGACCCCATTGAGCCCTATGGGCCCCATTGACCCATATAGACCCCGTATAGACCCCATGCATCCCTAAGGACCCCATAGAGCCCTAGGGACCCCATAGAAACCCCATTGAGCCCAAGGGACCACATTGAGCCCTAGGGACCCCATAGAAACCCCATTGAGCCCTATGGACCCCATGGAGCCCCAGGGACCACATTGAGCCCTATGGAACCCATTGAGCCCTAGGGACCCCCTGGAGCCCTAGGGACCATATTGAGCCCTAGGGACCCCATTGAGCCCTATGGACCCCATATAGCCACCATTGACCCCTATGGACCACATTGACACCTATAGACCCCATTGACCCCTATAGACCCCATTTCCCCCCTATAGACCCCATGGACCCTTATAGACCCCTGTAGCCCCCATTGACCCCTATAGACCCCATTGACCCCTATGGACCCCATTGACCCCTATGGACCCCATTGGCCCCTATAGACCCCATATAGCCCCCATTGACCCCTATGGACCCCATTTCTCCCCTATAGACCCCATGGACCCTTATAGACTCCTGTAGCCCCCATTGACCTCTATAGACCCCATTGACCCGTCTACCTCCCTATAGACCCCTGTAGCCCCCATTGACCCCTATAGAGCCCTATAGACCCCATTGACCCCCACTGAACCCTGTTGAACACCATTGAATCCCTCTGAACACCACTGAACCCCATTGCCCCCATTACCCCCATTGCCCCCATTGCCCCCATTGCCCCCCTTTGCCCCCATTGCCCCCATTACCCCCATTGCCCCCATTACCCCCATTGCGCCCATTGCCCTCATTGCCCCCATTGCCCCCATTACCCCCATTGCCCCCATTGCCCCCATTGCAACCATTACCCCCATTGCCCCCATTGCCCCCATTACCCCATTGCCCCCATTACCCCCATTACCCCATTGCCCCCATTACCCCCATTACCCCATTACCCCCATTGCCCCCATTACTCCCATTGCCCCCCATTACCCCCATTGCCCCCCATTACCCCCATTGCCCCCATTACCCCATTGCCCCCATTGCCCCCCATTGCCCCTTATTGCCCCCATTACCCCATTGCCCCCATTACCCCCATTGCTCCCATTACCCTAATTTTCCCCATTGCCCCCATTACCCCCCATTGTCCCCCATTACCCCCATTACCTCATTGCCCCCCATTACCCCCATTACCCTCATTTTCCCCATTCCCCCCATTACCCCATTCCCCCCATTACCCCCCATTGCCCCCCACTGTCCCCACTGTTCCCGGTTCCCCCCCTCCCCAGTTGCTGGCTCTCCCTGGAGCGAGGTTTCCGCTGGAGCTTCCAGGGCCCCGTTTGTGTCATCATCGCGGTGAGACCCCATGTCCTGTGCCCCCCATCACCCCCCATCGCCCCCCATTGCCCCCCATTGCCTCCCATTGCCCCCTATAGCCTCCATCTCCCCCTATCCCAGGTTAACGCCGTTGTCCTGGTGATCACCTTCTGGAAGCTGGTGCAGAAGTTCAATGACATCAACCCCAACATGGGGCACCTGCGGAAGATGAGGTGGGGGGGATGTGGGGCAATGGGGGCAATGGGGCGCAATGGGGGGCAGTGGGGGTCAATGGGTTCAATGGGTTTCAGTATGGGGCAGTGGGGGGCAGTGGGGTTCATTGGGGGTCAGTGGGTTCAATGGGTTTCTGTATGGGGCAATGGGGGTCATTTGGGGTCAATGGAGGGCAGTGGGGTTCATTGGGGTCAATGGGTTCAATGGGTTTCAGTATGGGGCAGTGGGGGGCAGTGGGGTTCATTGGGGGTCAATGGGTTCAATGGGTTTCAGTATGGGGCAATGGGGGCAATGGGGGGCAGTGGGGTTCATTGGGGGGGTTCAATGGGTTTCAGTATGGGGCAATGGGGGGCAGTGGGGTTCATTGGGGGTCAATGGGTTCAATGTGTTTCAGTATGGGGCAATGGGGGGCAGTGGGGTTCATTGGGGGTCAATGGGTTCAATGGGTTTCAGTATGGGGCAATGGGGGGCAGTGGGGTTCATTGGGGGTCAATGGGTTCAATGGGTTTCAGTATGGGGCAATGGGGGGCAGTGGGGTTCATTGGGGTTCAATGGGTTTCAGTATGGGGCAGTGAGGGTCCTTTAGGGTCAATGGGGGGCAGTGGGGTTCATTGGGGGTCAATGGGTTCAATGGGTTTCAGTATGGGGCAATGGGGGGCAGTGGGGTTCATTGGGGTTCAATGGGTTCAATGGGGTTTCAGTGGGGGCAATGGGGGGCATGGGGGGCAGTGGGGTTCATTGGGGGTTAATGGGTTCAATAGGTTTCAGTATGGGGCAATGGGGGGCAGTGGGGTTAATTGGGGGTCAATGGGTTCAATGGGTTTCAGTGGGGTTCATGGGGGGCAATGGGTTTCAATGGGGGGCAGTGGGGTTCATTGGGGCTGAATGGGTTCAATGGGTTTCAGTATGGGGCAATGGGGCAATGGGGGGCAGTCAATGGGTTTCAATAGGGTATGGGGCAATGGGGGGCAATGGGGTTCATTGGGGTTCAATGGGGTTCAGGGTCCTTTGGGGTCAATGGGGGGCAGTGGGGTTCATTTTCAATGGGTTCAATGGGTTTCAGTATGGGGCAATGGGGGGGGCAGTGGGGGGCAGTGGGGTCAATGGGTTCAATGGGTTTCAGTATGGGGCAATGGGGGTCCTTTGGGGTCAATCATTGTGGGGTCGTTGGGGGGGTTCAATGGGTTTCAGTATGGGGCAGTGGGGGTCATGGGGGCAATGGGGGGCAGTGGGGTTCATTGGGGGTCAATGGGTTTCAGTATGGGGCAGTGGGGGTCCTTTGGGGTCAATGGGGGGCAGTGGGGTTCATTGTGGTCAATGGGTTCAATGGGTTTCAGTATGGGGCAATGGGGGTCATTGGGGGTCAATGGGGGGCAGTGGGGTTCATTGGGGTTCAATGGGTTTCAGTATGGGGCAATGGGGGTCATTTGGGGTCAATGGGGGGCAGTGGGGTTCATGGGGCAATGGGGGTCATTTGGGGGGTTCAATGGGTTTCAGTCAATGGGGCAATGGGGGTCAGTGGGGTTTGGGGTCAATGTCAGTGGGGGCAGTGGGGTTCATGGGGCTGGGGCTCAATGGGGGTGGGTTTCAGTGGGGTCAATGGGTTTCAGTATGGGGTCAATGGGTGTCAATGAGTGTCAATGGGCTTCCGTGAGGTCAATGGGGTCGGTGGGACTCAGTGGGGCTCAGTGGGGTTTCAGTGGTGTTCAATGGGTGTCAATGGGGGTCAGTGGGTGTCAGTGGGGGTCAGTGGGGCTCAATGGTGTCAATGGGGCTCAGCGGGTTTCAATGGGTGTCAATGGGGGTCAGTGGGTTTCAGTGGGGCTCAGTGGGTCTCAGTGGGGTGTCAATGGTGTCAATGGGTCTCAGTGGGGTTCCCTGGGTTTCAATGGGTTCAATGGGTCCAATGGGTCTCAATGGGTCTCAATGGGTTCGATGGGTCTCAATGGGGTTTCAATGGGTTCAATGGGTTTCAATGGGCCTCAATGGGTGTCAATGGGTGTCAATGGGTTTCAATGGGTCTCAGTGGGGTCTCAATGGGTGTCAATGGGTGTCAATGGTTCAATGGGGTCTCAATGGTCTCAGGGGGTCTCAATGGGTTCAATGGGGTCTCAATGGGTTCAGTGGGGCTCAATGGTCGCAATGGGTCTCAATGGGTTTCAATGGGGCTCAATGGGTCTCAATGGGTTCAGTGGGTCTTAATGGGGTCTCAATGGGTTCAATGGGTCTCAATGGGGTCTCAATGGGGTTCCATGGGGTCTCAATGGGTCTCAATGGGTGTCAATGGGTTCAATGGGGTCTCAATGGGGTTCAATAGGTCTCAATGGGTCTCAATGGGTTCCATGGGGTTTCAATGGGTCTCAATGGGTCTCAATGGGTCTCAATGGGTCTCAATGGGTCTCAATGGGTTCAATGGGTCTCAATGGGTCTCAATGGGTTCAATGGGTTCAGTGGGGTCTCAATGGGTCTCAGTGGGTTCAATGGGTCTCAATGGGTTCAATGGGTTCAGTGGGGTCTCAATGGGTGTCAGTGGGTTCAATGGGGTTTCAATGGGTCTCAATGGGTCTCAATGGGTCTCACTGGGTCTCAGTGGGTTCCATGGGGTCTCAATGGGTCTCAATGGGTCTCAATGGGTCTCACTGGGTCTCACTGGGTCTCACTGGGTCTCCTTGGGGTCTCACCCGCAGGGTGCTGGCGCTGGTGGGGGCGGGGCAGCTCTGCGTGCTGGGCTTGGGCTGGGCCCTGGGGCTGGGGCTGGGGGCGGGGCCCGGGCTCTGGCTGGGGGCGGGGCCTGCGCTCTCGCCCCTCCCCCTCCTGTTCTGCGCCCTGAACGCGGCCCAAGGGCTCTGGATCTTCCTGTGCCACTGCCTGGCACAGCCACAGGTGGGGCCCGAAACGGAGCCAAAATGACCAAAAATGAGCCAAAACTGACCCAAAATGAGCCAAAACTGACGCAAAATGAGCCAAAATGAGCCAAACTGACCAAAAACTGACCCAAAACGGACCTGGAATGACACAAAATGAACAAAAACTGATCACAACTGACCCAAAATGAGCCAAAATGAGCCAAACTGACCAAAAACTGACCCAAAACGGACCCGGAATGACCCAAAATGACCAAAAACTGATCCAAACTGACCCAAACTGAGCCAAAATGAGCCAAACTGACAAAAAACTGACCCAAAACGGACCCGGAATGACCCAAAATGACCAAAAACTGATCCAAACTGACCCAAAATGAGCCAAACTGACCAAAAACTGACCCAAAACGGACCCGGAATGACCCAAAATGACCAAAAACTGACCCAAACTGACCCAAAATGAGCCAAAATAACCCACACTGAGCTAAAATGACCCAAACTGACCAAAACCTGACCCAAAATGACCCAAAATGACCCAAACTGACACAAAATGACCCAAAACTGACCCAAAATGACCAAAAACTGATCCAAACTGACCCAAAATGAGCCAAACTGACACGAAATGACCCAAAACTGAGCCGAAATGACCCGAAATGAGCCGAACTGACCAAAAACTGACCCAAAACGGACCCGGAATGACCCAAAATGACCAAAAACTGACCCAAAACGGAACCGGAATGACCCAAAATGACCAAAAACTGATCAAAACTGACCCAAAATGAGCCAAAATGACCAAAAACTGACCCAAAACGGAGCCGGAATGACCCAAAATGACCAAAAACTGATCCAAACTGACCCAAAATAAGCCAAAATGAGCCAAAGTGACCAAAAACTGACCCAAAACAGACCCGGAATGACCCAAAATGACCAAAAACTGACCCAAACTGACCCAAACTGACACGAAATGACCCAAAACTGACCCGAAATGACCCGAAATGAGCCAAACTGACCAAAAACTGACCCAAAACGGACCCAGAATGACCCAAACTGACCAAAAACTGACCAAAAACTGACCCAAATGAGCCAAAACTGACACGAAATGAGCCAAAATGACCCAAACTGATGCAAACTGACCAAAAACTGACCCAAAACTGACCCAAACTGACCCAAAATGAGCCAAAACTGACCCAAAATGACCCAAACTGACCCAAAACTGACCCAAAACTGACCCAAACTGACCCAAAACGGACCCAAAACTGACCCAAAACGAGCCAAAACTGACCCAAAACGAGCCAAAACTGACCCAAACTGACCCAAAACTGACGCAAACTGACCCAAACTGACCCAAAACTGACCCAAACAGACCCAAACTGACCCAAACTGACCCAAACTGACCCAAAACTGACCCAAAATGACCCAAAACTGACCCAAACTTACCAAAAACTGACCAAAAACTGACCCAAACTGACCCAAAACTGACCCAAACTGACCAAAAACTGACCCAAAATGGACCAGGAATGACCCAAACTTACCAAAAACTGACCAAAAACTGACCCAAAATGAGCCAAAACTGACCCCAAATGAGCCAAAACTGACACGAAATGAGCCAAAATGACCCAAACTGATGCAAACTGACCCAAAACTGACCCAAACTGACCAAAACTGACCAAAAACTGACCCAAAACTGACCCAAACTGACCCAAAACTGACCCAAAACTGACCCAAAATGACCCAAAACTGACCCAAACTGACCCAAAACTGACCCAAACTGACCCAAAACTGACCTTTACGTCCCCCGCCCAGACCCCCCCCCCCATCCAGGACCCCTCCCCCGTCCTCTAGGACCCCCCCCCCCTTCCCAGAGCCCCGCCCCCTCTAGGACCCCCCCCCCCAGGACCCCCCCCCCCCCTTTAAGCCCCCCAAAATCCCCCCAAATGACCCCAAATTCCCCTCCCCCCCAAACCCGCCCCCCTGGGGGGCGGGGAGGGGGGGAGGGTTGGGTTATGGGGGGGGTTGGGGGGTGGGGGTTGGGTGATGGGGGTGGGAGTTGGGTGATGGGGGGGGTTGGGTGATGGGGGTTGGGTGCTGGGGGATGGGGTTGGGTGATGGGGGGGTTGGGTGCTGGGGGGGGGTTGGGGGGGGGTGGGTGCTGGGGATGGGGGTTGGGGGGGGTTGGGTGATGGGGGTGGGGGTTGGGGGTGAGGTTTGGGTGATGGGGGGGTGGGTGATGGTGGCGGTTGGGTGATGGGGGGTTGGGTGCTGGGGATCGGGGTTGGGGGGGGTTGGGTGATGGGGGGGGTTGGGTGACGGGGGTGGGGGTTGGGTGATTGGGGTTGGGTGCTGGGGGTTGGGTGATGGGGGTGGGGGTTGGGTGATGGGGGGTTGGGTGATGAGGTCTGGGTGATGGGGGGGTTGGGTGATGGGGGGGTTGGGTGATTGGGGTGGGTGATGGGTTTGAGGTTTGGGTGATGGGGGGGTGGGTGATGGGGGTTGGGGTTGGGTGCTGGGGGTGGGGGTTGGGTGCTGACGCAGGCAGCGCCCCCTGCAGGTTCGCGCCGCGTACCGCGCGTGGCTCTGCCGCGCCGCAGGGCGCCCCCTGGAGCTCAGCAGCAGCAGCAACACCGGAAACACCCGCGTGAGGCCCCTCCCCCACCTTCCCCTTCCCCTTCCCCTCCCCCCCTTTCCCCTCCCCCTTCCCTTCCCCTCCCCCTCTTCCCTTCCCCTCCCCCTCTTCCCTTCCCCTCCCCCACCTTCCCTTCCCCTCCCCCTCTTCCCTTCCCCTCCCCCCCCTCCCTTCTGTTCCCTTCCCCTCCCCCCCCATATTGACGGCCGGGGGAGTGGGGGAGGGGCCAGGCCCTGACCCTTTGCCCCCCCCTCCCTCCCCTCCCCCCCCCCGCAGGTTTCCCGCCAGAAGCTGTAATGGAGCAAAGGATGTGCCCGCCCCTCCCCCCCTTGTGTTGTCATTAAAGGCGTTCTCACAAGAGACAGGGGTGCTGTGGAGTGCTATGGGTCACTATGGGGTGCTATGGGTCGCTATGGGGTGCTATGGGTCACTATGGGGTGCTATGGGTCACTATGGGTTACTATGGATCACTATGGGTCACAATGGGGTGCTATGGGTCACTATGGGGAGCTATGAGTCACTATGGCTTACTATGGATCACTGTGGGTCACAGTGGGGTGCTATGGGTCACTATGGGGAGCTATGGGGTGCTGTGGGTCACTATGGGGAGCTATGGGTCACTATGCGTTACTATGGATCACTATGGGTCACAATGGGGTGCTATGGGTCACTATGGGGAGCTATGGGTCACTATGGGTTACTATGGATCACTATGGGTCACAATGGGGTGCTATGGGTCACTATGGGTTACTATGGATCACTATGGGTCACAATGGGGTGCTATGGGTCACTGGGGAGCTATGGGTCACTATGGGTTACTATGGATCACTATGAATCACAATGGGGTGCTGTGGGTCACTATGAGGAGCTATGGGTCACTATGAATCACAATGGGGTGCTATGGGTCACTATGGAGAGCTGTGAGTCACTATGGGTTACTATGGATCACTATGGGTCACAATGGGTCGCTATGGGTCACTATGGGTGGCTATGGGGTGCTATAGGTCTCTATTGGCCCCTATGGAGTCACAATGGAGAGGTACGGGTCTCTACGGGTTACTATGGATCACTATGGGTCACAATGGGTCGCTATGGGTCACTATGGGGAGCTATGGGGTGCTATAGGTCTCTATTGGTCCCTATGGAGTCACAATGGAGAGGTATGGGTCTCTATGGGTTACTATGGATCACTATGGGTCACAATGGGGAGCTATGGGTCACTATGGGTGGCTACGGCATGCTATGGGTTACTATAGGTCGCTATGGGGTCGCTATGGGGTCACTATGGGTCATTACAGGTCACTATATGGCTCTATGGGTCACTACAGGTTACTGTGGATCACTATGGGGTCACAATGGGTCACTATAGATCCCTATAGGTCACTACAGGTCTATGGATTGCTGTGGATCCCTATGGGTCACTATGGATCCCTATGGGTCACTATGGATCCCTATAGATCTCTCTGGACCCTATAGGTCCCTATGGACCCCTATAGGTCCCTATGGACCCCTATAGGTCCCTATGGATCCCTATTGATCTCTCTGGACCCTATAGGTCCCTATGGACCCCTATAGGTCCCTATGGATCCCTATTGATCTTTCTGGATCCCTATCAGTCACTATGGATTCCTATAGGTCCCTATGGATCCCTATGGGTCCCTATGGATCCCTATTGATCTCTCTGGACCCTATAGATCCCTATAGGTCCCTATAGGTCACTATGGATCCCTATAGGTCACTATGGATCCCTATTGATCTCTCTGGATCCCTATCAGTCTCTATGGACTCCTATAGGTCCCTATGGATCCCTATTGATCTCTCTGGACCCTATGGATCCCTATAGGTCCCTGTGGATCCCTATAGGTCCCTTTGGATCCCTATTGATTTCTCTGGAACCCTATCGGTCACTATGGATCCCTATAGGTCCCTATAGGTCCCTATGGATCCCTATGGGTCACCATGGATCCCTATTGGTCTCTCTTGATCCCTATGGATCCCTATAGGTCCCTGTGGATCCCTATAGGTCCCTTTGGATCCCTATTGATTTCTCTGGAACCCTATCGGTCACTATGGATCCCTATAGGTCCCTATGGGTCCCTATAGCTCCCTATGGATCCCTATGGGTCACTATGGATCCCTATGGATCCCTGTTGATCTCTCTGGATCCCTATAGGTTGCTATAGGTCCCTATGGATCCCTATCGGTCCCTATGGATCCCTATGGGTCACTATGGATCCCTATTGATCTCTATGGATCCCTATGGGTCCCTATGGAACCCTATAGGTCCCTATTGATCTCTATGGATCCCTATAGGTCCCTATAGGTCACCATGGATCCCTATTGATCTCTCTTGATCCCTATGGATCCCTATGGCTCCCCAGAAGCCACACCCCCTCCCCTCCCCCCAAACCCCCACCCCATTTTCTCCATTTTTTTAATTCTTTTTTATGCCAAAAATAAATTTCCCACAGAAATTCCCCCCCCCCCACCCCACCCCCCCCCCCCCACCCCCACCCCCCCCCCCCCCCCGGGGTGTTTGGGGGGGGGGGGGGGGGGGGGGGGGGGGGGGGGGGGGGGGGGGGGGGGGGGGGGGGGGGGTGGGGGTGGGGGGGGGGGGGGTGGGGGGGGGGTCGGTGTCAGATGAGCCGCTCCTCGGGGGGGAGGCGCAGGGGGGGGGCGGGGGGGAGGGGCGGGGCTCGGGCCCCCCCCGCCTGCTCCTCGCGGCTGGGCCGGTACGAGCCCTCCGAGCGCCGCCGCTCGCGCAGGCGCAGTCCGAGCAGGAGCAAGAGCGCCCCCAGCGCCAGCGCCGCCAAGGCCGCGGGTAGAGCCGCGCTCAGCACCACGGAGAGCGACGGGGAGGGCTGAGGGAGAGGGGAGGGACAGCTGGTCAGCCAATGGGAGAGGAGGAAGGAACGGAGACAGCCAATGGGAGAGGAGGGGGGAGAGGAGACAGCCAAGGGGAGAGGAGGAAGCCAATGGGAGAGGAGGAAGCCAATGGGAGAGGAGGAAGGAGAGGAGACAGCCAATGGGAGAGGAGGAAGGAGAGGAGACAGCCAAGGGGAGAGGAGGAAGCCAATGTGAGAGGAGGAAAGAACGGAGCAAGCCAATGGGAGAGGAGGAAGCCAATGGGAGAGGAGGAAAGAACGGAGCAAGCCAATGGGAGAGGAGGAAGCCAATGGGAGAGGAGGAAGCCAATGGGAGAGGAGGAAAGAACGGAGACAGCCAATGGGAGAGGAGCAAGGAGAGGAGCCAGCCAAGGGGAGAGGAGGAAGCCAATGGGAGAGGAGGAAGGAGAGGAGCCAGCCAATGGGAGAGGAGGAAGGAGAGGAGACAGCCAATGGGAGAGGAGGAAGCCAATGGGAGAGGAGGAAGGAGAGGAGACAGCCAATGGGAGAGGAGGAAGGAGAGAGACAGCCAAGGGGAGAGGAGCAAGCCAGTGGGAGAGGAGGAAGGAGCGGAGCCAGCCAATGGGAGAGGAGGAAGCCAATGGGAGAGGAGGAAGGAGCGGACACAGCCAAGGGGAGAGGAGGAAGCCAATGGGAGAGGAGGAAGGAGCAGAGCCAGGCAATGGGAGAGGAGGAAGCCAATGGGAGAGGAGGAAAGAACGGAGCCAGCCAATGGGAGAGGAGCAAAGAACAGAGCCAGCCAATGGGAGAGGAGGAAAGAACGGAGCCAGCCAATGGGAGAGGAGGAAGCCAATGGGAGAGGAGGAAGGAGAGGAGCCAGCCAATGGGAGAGGAGGAAGGAGCGGAGCCAGCCAATGGGAGAGGAGGAAGGAACGGAGCCAGCCAATGGGAGAAGAGGAAGCCAATGGGAGAGGAGGAAGGAAAGGACCCAGCCAGTGGGAGAGGAGCAAGGAGAGGAGCCAGACAATGGGAGAGGAGGAAGGAGAGGACCCAGCCAGTGGGAGAGGAGCAAGGAGCGGACCCAGCCAATGGGATCAGAGCAAGAAACAGCCCCAGCCAATGGGAGCAGAGCAAGGAACAGCCCCAGCTAATGGGAGAGGAGCAAGGAACAGCCCCAGCCAATGGGATCGGAGCAAGAAACAGCCCCAGCCAATGGGATCGGAGCAAGAAACAGCCCCAGCCAATGGGAGCAAAGCAAGAAACAGCCCCAGCCAATGGGAGCAGAGCAAGGAACAGCCCCAGCTAATGGGAGAGGAGCAAGGAACAGCCCCAGCCAATGGGAGAGGAGCAAGGAACAGCCCCAGCCAATGGGATCGGAACAAGAAACAGCCCCAGCCAATGGGAGCAAAGCAAGAAACAGCCCCAGCCAATGGGAGCAGCCCAGGGACCAACCCCAGCCAATGAGAGCAGCCCAGACCCCCCCCCCCCCATGGGGACAACCACAGACACCCGGCACCCACCCATAGCCAATGGGGACACCCGGGAACTCCCCCTGACCAATGGGGGCACCCCATGGACCCCCCCAGCCAATGGGATCACCCCAGAGACAAAGAGGACCCCATCCCAAGTAGCCAATGGGAGGCAACCGGGACCCCTCTCCCAGCCAATGGGGAGCCCCCCCAGCTCCTTTGGGCCCCCAACAGCCCCATAGCGCCCCCTTACTCACAGAGGAGCCCCCCCCGTCACTGGGATCGGTGCTGTTCCCGGTGCTGTTCCCAGGGCTCGCACTGGGGGAGACTGGGATGGAAGGAGGGAGCTATGGGGCGGGGGAGGCCTGGACCCCATAACCACCAATGGGACCCCCATTGGGAGCCCATGACCCCCATTGGACCCACATAAACACAATTGAGACCCCATAACCCCCATTGGAAACCCCATAACTACATTGGGAGCACCATAACCCACACCAGGACCCCCACTGGGACCCCATAACCCCAATTGGGACCCCATAACCCCCATTGGAACCCCCCTAAACCCCCATTGGGACCCCATAACCCCCATTGGAACCCCCATAACACCCCATAACCCCCATTGGAACCCCCCTAAACCCCCATTGGGACCCCATAACCCCCATTGGAAACCC